CTCATGTCCAGGAAGTGGTGGGCTCTGAGCTGGCCTAGGAGTAAGAGGCAGGCTTGGCTAGGTGGGGAAGAGGCAGGTGCTTGAGGGGCACATTTTGGCAAAGGTTTGCAGGTGGGCAGAACACTGAGGAGAGGGTAAGGTGTGGTACCAGGGCCTGTACAGCCCAGGGAGGGTTTCCTCTGCACTCCTCGCCTAGTGTAGCCCCAAGCCCTGACATCGTTGTTTTGCAGTTGGGCTAGATACGGTGGTCACTGTAAGGCTGTTGTGCCCATGCCCTTGAGATAGTCATGGGCCTGCCCACAGGAAGCACACAGTGTTTTGGAGGTCTCAGATGTGGCCTACAGACCTGTTTTTATGTGATCATATACATCCTCTTTAATTTTTGAATTATTTTCCAATATTTTGAAACTGGGATTTTCGACAAAGACTCAAATTTCAGCTTCTCTTGAAAGATTAGACTATCTGTTACTTCTGGGTGTACTTCTCCGTGGTCCCCTGGGCTGGAGCTGAGTAGCAACTGCCATGTAAACAGGGCAGGTGCCCTCCAGTGTTCCCCAGGCCCCAGCCCACCCATTTCTTTCATTCTCATGACCTCCTGGCCTCTCTGCCCCTTGCAATAGGTGGTAGTTGTGGTGGGCAATAGTAATCGTTGCTGTGCTAGTAGCTGGATGGCCTGGCTCTGAGGCCTTGCAGCAGGCGTGGGGTTTAGCATGGTGAGGCTGTAGGGGGCTGAATGCCCTCTGAGAGATACTTCTGATCCCAGGAACTGGGATTCCTGGATCTTTGTATGCATGAAAGAAAGTGAGCTGTTTATGGATGACCATGTATCTGCATGCGTTATCTCCCTATTGACTCCTTATGCTGCCCACAGGCCTCTTGTTTGGGGTGGGTCACCCTTCTATGCAAATGTGTAGCCATGGAATCAGGGCTGAGGAGGGGGTCAGAAGGAGCTTGGAGAATGGAGGGATGAGCTGAATTGGGCCCTGAAAGGTGAGAGGCTTCAGTCGAAACATTGGGGAGGACTCTCAGGGCCTCTGCTGCCGTTTAGGGACTATGAACCTGTCTGTGTGTGTCTGTTTCTTTGGTTCCCAAGGGCCCTTCTTGGATTTGGCTGTGGCTGAGCTGCCCATAGGGCTCAGGAAGTGACCTCTTCAAGGTATTTTTCTCATAGAAGCCCCTACATCATTTCTTTCTCCCAGCCTTCTCCCTGCCTCCCCTAAATGTGGAGTTAGGGGAGGGGAAGGACAGGAATGTGCCTCCCCTTCTGATCTGCCAACATTACATGTGTTGCTTCCTCTGCTGGTCCATTTCCCATCATTGGCAGTCAGTGGGGACTGTGCCCTTGTCCTTGCCAGGCTCAAGAGTCAGCCTTAGCCTCCAATGAAGCAGTTCCCTGTACCATTCTGGTTTGATCTCCCTGTGCTGCCTGAGGAGGTAAAGTCAATGCCTAAACACTAGGTCTGGTACCTGTTCCCTTCCACTGCCCCAGTCTAGCTGCCCTTCCCTCTCTATTGCCTCAATTCATAGGTTCAGTCCTCCCCTCCCCTGGCTGCCTGTAGCTAACCAGGAATAGGTTGCCATCTGGCCCTGGCCCTTGGTCCTCAGGTTGGCTGGCTCTTGGGGGAGGATGGTCTCCAGTACTACTCCCTGCACCCTTCCAAAACCCCCAGCCTGGAAAAGAGATTCTCTGGCATCTACCTGAGTTTCTATCTGCTGCCCTGTTGCTTGGGAGGCTGAGCCCAGACCCTGGCCTGCCTTCTGCTCAGCACCTGGTGACCTGGGCTCTGTCTGGGTCTTTCTGAGGATGGTTTGGATCCAGACTCCAGCCACAGATGGGGGGCAGCAGTGCAAGGGCACATCACACTGAGAGAAGTTAAGGGTGAGGGCCCTAGAAAGACCTAGCCCTGCCTCTAACCAGCTGTATGATCCTGGGCATATCACATCTGCTCTCTGTGCCTGAATTTCCTCGTTTGTAAAGGGAGGTGAAAAATAGCTCCTTTCTCATAGGATTGCTAAGATTAAATGAGTTAAAATGAGGCTATGGAAAGCACACAGCAGATAGTAACTGCAGTGTTAGCAATTGTTATTGGAGTCAGAAAACCTGGGTTTCCATTTGGTTGCACTGTTTACTAATTGACCTTGGGCAGGTTCTTGCCCCTCCTGGTATCTCAGGCTCCTTCCCTAAAATGGGGTTATGCTTGCTCCCTCAGTGTAGGAGAGAATGTAGGACAGGCAGGGATGATGTAGGAAGAAGTGGGTTGTGTGTTGTGAGTTGCCGTGCAATGTTATGATTAATTTTGAACTCACTTGAGCTGTTAGGTCTTATAGACAGGGACAGGTGATTTCTTAATTTGCCCTAACTTTGCACAGAGAGGGCAGACACCAGGGATCATACATGTCCAGCAGATGAGGCACTGGGCTGCAAACTGAGTGTCCGGCTTGGAGGCTAGCCTGGACCAGGCCACGCTGTTGACTTCAGGGCCACAGGCTTGGGTGCAGGCCTGGGGAGGATCTCTTAGAGATTGTTCACACTCTTCCTCTCTCTGGGGCAGTGTGTCCCTGGGCTTCATGAAGCTGTTGGCCCCACCCAGTGAGCCAGGAACCTAGCCCTGCACTATCTCTGGAGGCATCTTGATTTTACCTTTTTGGGCTGCTGGGGTACCTTGGGGCTGTCAGAAAAGAAGGAGGGACAGCTGGAAGCAAAATGTGGAATGGTAAAGCTAAACTTCTTGGTAGCAAAACTTTCCTGGCCAGGGAGCAGGGCAGAGGGCTGGGGCTGGGGCCGGGACCGGGGCAGCCTGCCCGTCTGTCTTTGCTGGTGTCTGCTGTGCATGAGTCAAGCCTAGGTCTGTGAGTTCTGATGATTGAACATTCACCTCTGCTACCTGCTCCTCATCTTGTCTCCTCTCAGTACAACCTGCCTTGGGCTAGACATCCAGTAGGCACTAGATAATAGCTTACTGAATTGGGTGGATTTCCCATTCATGGGCACAAGCAGAGGTGGTGGGTGTGGGTCCTCTCTGGCCTTAGGGGGAGGTGACCCTTTTACAAAGGCAGGCAGGCAGGCAGCTCTGAGAGAATGGCTGATGGCAGAGCTGCCTTGGCTGCTCAGGTGACTGCAGAGGGATTGGGCCTGGGCTCTCTAAGAGAGTCACCGCTGGGTCATCAGGTTGTCTGGTAGCTAGCTCTAGGCTCCTTATGGGCAGAGACCCCTTTAAGCTGGTCTTACTCTGCCTTGCTGCCGCTGCCAGTGAGTCTAGGGCATGCAGGATGCTCCCTTCTCTTTCTACTTGGGGAAGGGGACTTCCTAATTATATCCCCCTCCACTCACATGGAAATGAGTTTGGATTTTCTGAGCGTACACCAGCTGGCTGGGGTGGGGGTGGGGGTGGGGG